GGCGATTCAGGGGTCAAAATACATGTGATAAAATTGTTACAGAGCTTGAGGACGTTTTCTCAGAATATGGCTTTACACATGACAAAATCACAGCATGTGTGACCGAAAATGGTAGCAACTTTGTGAAGGCATTTCAGGAGTATAAGGATGTTGAGTCCGAAGAGGAAGAGGAGGTGGAGGAGGACAGTGGTGAAGGGGAAATGCACTTACAGACCTTCACAGTGTGCTTAGCGCTGATGATGAAGAAGCCCAGGTTGGGTTATGTGTACTGCCTCCCCACCACAGGTGTGCAGCCCATACACTGAATCTAGATGCAAACATTGAAGTTGATAAATGGCTTGCAACCAATCCAGAATCAAGAGCGGCCTACCACAGTGCTACAGTCAAATGTTCTTCACTGTGGACAAAATCCACTGTACAGTTGCAGCTGAGTGTGTAGAAGAGGTTAGTGATAAAAAGTTGATTGTCCCAACAGTGACACTGTGGAACTCATTTTATGATGCATATGCAAGAATCACAGAAATGCCTCTCACTGACATTAAAAATCTTTGCACATAGTTTCAGATTAAATGTATGAATGACAGGGAATACCAGTTTCTTAAAGAGTACTGTCTCATTATGAAGCCTTTCACAGTTGCACTGGACATCCTACAGGGAGGAGAGACTTGTTTTTATGGCATGCTTCAACCTACACTTGAGGTTTTTATGGCCAAATCCTTGGCAATGAAAATGGTCTGTCACCAATGACCACTGGGCTGCCTGAGGTTATTGTGGGAGCAAACATAAATCGATTTGCTGCAATAATTGATTCCAAGGCTGCACTACTGGCTTCTGTCTCACTACCCAAGTTTAAGGTGCGCTGGGTAAAAGAGGAAACCAGCAGAGACTACATCACTCTTCTCCTTACAACAGAGTGCCGCACCCTAACAACACAGGAACATATATATATATATATATATATATATATATATATATATATATATATATATATATATATATATATATATGTGTGTTCAAAATTGTTGGTACCCTTGTGATAATGAAAGAAAAATCAACAATGGTCACTGAAATAACTTGAAACTGAGAAAAGCAATAATAAATACAGAATTTACTGAAAAATAACCAATGAAAATCAGATACTGTTTTTGAATTGTTTTCCAATAGAATAATTTAAAAAATAAACAAACTAATGAAACTGGCCTGGACAAAAATGATGGTACCTCTAGAAAAGATTGTAAATACTTGGACAATAGGGACATGTTAAACTTCAGTGTGTCTCTAATCTGCATCACAGGTTCTTTAAACTCGTCCTCAGTCAATCTGTCTGTTTAAAGGGAGACATGTGTCATTGTGCTGTTTGGAGACATGATGGACACAACACTGAACATGGACCAGAGAAAGAGAAGAAGAGAACTGGGTCAGGAGACTAGAAAGAAAATGATAGACAATCAGGTTAAAGATAAAGACAATAAGACCATCTCCAAGCAGCTTGATGTTCCTGTGATTACAGTTACACATGTTCTTCACAAGTTTAAGGTCCACAGGACTGAAGCCAACCTCCCTGGATGCGGCTGCAAGAGGAAAACTGATGACAAATTGAAGAGATGGACCATACAAATTGAACCAAAGAGTCTAGAACAACCTCCAAACTAATTAAATGTGAACTTAAAGGGCAAAGTACATCAGTGTCAGATCACACCATCCATCACTGTTTGAGCCAAAGTGGACTTCATGTGAGGACACCACAGCTGAGAGCAAATCATAAAAAAAGTGAGACTTGAATTTGCCACAATGCAGATTGACAAGCCACAAAGCTTCTGGGAGAATGTTCTTTGGACAAATGAGACAAAACTGGAGCTCTTTGGCAAGACACATCAGCTCTATGTTCACAGACGTAAAAATAAAGCAGACCAAGAAAAGAACACTGTCCCTACTGTGAAACACGGAGGAGGTTTGGTGTTTTGCTGCATCTGGCACAGGGTGTCTTGAATCTGTGCAAGGTACAATGGAATCTCAAAACTATCACAGTACAAGGTGTTGCCTAGTGTCAGAAAGCTTGGTCTCAGTCGTAGGTCATGGGACTTCCAACAGGATAATGACCCAAAACACACAGCTAAAAACACATAAGAATGACTAAAAACAAAACACTGGACTGTTCTGGAGTGTTCTTCTGTGAGCCCAGATCTCAGTTCTCTTGAACTTCTATGAAAGGAGCTGAAACATGGAGAAGGAACGCTTCAAACCTGAGACAACTAGAGCAGTTTGGTCATGAGAAATGGGTCAAAATACCAGTTGACCAGAGAAGAAGTCTCATTATCAGTTACAGAAATCAATATTAAGTACCATCATTTTTGTCCGGGTCAGTTGCATTATTTCGTTTTTTCTAATGATTCTGTTGAACCACAGGTTAAAAGCAACATTTTTCATATATATGAAATGTTAATTATTTTCTTTTTGGCCAATATACAACCAAAATGCCTACCTCAGGACATTATTTAGAAAATAGTCAAGAAGAGAAAGCAAAAGTGTCAGAAACTGGTCCTTGTTGAGAAAAAACTCTACCCAGAATCAGGTGTTGCTCCACTCTGACTTCAGCCTCCACACGAACGACTGCACTGTTGCTGCTTTGACAGAAGTGTGGTGCATTCCTCCGACAGCCACCAGCAGTGTAGCTGGGTAAATTATTCCCACTGTTAGTGATCCTAGCTGCTTTCATCGCATGAACTTTGTCAGCATAATTTAGAAACTTCATTACTACTGCTCTGGGGCGTGCAGTAGATTCTCGCTTCCCATATAATGCTCCATCGCTTTCCGCTCTGCCAACGCAGTGCATCCTTTCAATAATCATTGGCCGGGGAAAAGGTGTGTTTGCCATGTGCATTTGAAATCTACTTTTCCAGACAGACACACATATCGCTACCTTCTGTTGACTTGGGCAGACGCACCACAGTCAGAATTGAGTTTGCTTGGTTTTCCAAGTCATCCATTTTATGCATCAACTCCACACAGGTTGTTGGGGAGTGGTTTGTGTTTTCACAAGCGTCAGCTCGTCCTCATTAGAGCTTATTCTCTGCTCTGTGTTGGTCATACGAGTTGTCAGTGCTTTTATCTCACCTTGTAAATTGTTAACAGCCCTCATATTAATACTGTACTGTCTTGAAGGGAAATCTTCCTTCACTGTTGTGAAATCCCCTCTCAGTGAGAGAATAGTGGCCAAGATTTCATGTGAACTGTTAAAGCCCAGTTCATGGTCATGTGTCAAGTCACCTTGAACCCTCTCCACAGAGCGCCTGCACTGACTGACGGGCACCTCAAAAATGTTCTAACTATGCGTTGAACCAACACGGACAATAAGGGCTGTGATTGGTCCTCTCTACATCAGCTCTACATATTTTTCCAGTACTCCACTTTCTCGCTTCATTTTGTAAAAACAAATGGCAGTTTTAAATCCTCGCCTACTAGTGTTGTGGCGGTGAATTACTTCGTGGCGCATGGACCTTAACGCAGATCCATAAATCAAAAACAACAGTGACAAGGTGATGGCAGCAGCGTGCACTGAGTCGACGCAGAACTGTAATTCAGCCTTCAGGGGCTAGCTCGCTCCGATGGCAACTTGGCATTGTTAGAGGATTCCTTTGCCATTTTTGATTTTGAATTTTGAATTTGCTTTTGGAGGCATTTTGAATGTTTCTTGTGTTTAGCTAAACTGAACTGGCCTTTAAATCAATTGACAGAGTCCGACTGTTTTTTCTCAAAAATTCACACCGGAGCCCAATCGTACGTCTGCATAGAAGCGCACCATTACCGGAAATCCTTCATTTGGATTTTTAGGGTGTCTGTAAAATTAAGCCCTCTAAAGGCTGAAAATGGAATTATGATTAAAAGAGGTAGCATCCTTTTCTTCCTAAGACATTGTATGGATCTTTAATTTATTGAGATCTGATGTGTTTTCAAAGTGTTCCTTTAATATTTTTGAGCAGTGTATATGAAATATATAAAATATTTATTGATTCTTATTGACACTGAGTAGTTCTTTATTCCTAAACAGACTGGTGAGGCACTGCCTCATCCAAATTCCAAATTATTCTAATGACGGTTTGTGGAATTTAAAAATACAGTGGAGCCCTTCCTGCGTTACCACATGAGATTACAAAGTGGACTAGAGTGTTTTCTGTTTGAGAGAAGAACCTAAATGCAACAATCAAATAAAGGTATTTATACATTTTGATAACTTTTTTATTGTGATCTTATTTTTGTACTTTACACAATTGAATCATTTATGGCTGTTGATGTAGAAGAAACATTTGACCCTTTTGCCTGCCTCATCACAACTGTAGTTTATATTTTATTAAGTGAAGTAAGAGATCAGAGGCATTCCCATATGTTCAACAGCAATGCATTTTGACACGTCTTCATTGGAGCATGTAAAATTCTAAATTTCAAGTAGTAAAGAAAAAAAAAACTTTATTTTTTTACGAATAAATATTTCTTAAAATTTCTATATTATAAAAGTGACTCTTGTGAGCTTTAAACCATGTAAGAATGTTGTTTCAAAACAAAAACATACCGTTCATTCACATGTTTGAGTAACCTCAAAATGCTCTATCCACCTTGTGATGTCATAAAGGGGTAGCTTTCAAGTTAACAGCTACCCTTTACCTTTTGTTTAGTAGAAACTGGAACATGTGCAAATAATTCTGATGAAGGTGTATACAGTGGTAGTATGAATGATGATTGATGACTGTGACATATACTTACAACAGACACTAGTGTTGGTGTCACAATACAAACATGTCAACCTTGATTTAGATTGTAAGGTAAAAGCTTGAAACATGATCATATTTTCATACCACAATAATTATTTAAAATCACAGCATTAAACAAAAAAACAGAATTTTAACCAAAATAATAATTAAGTTTAGTTTTTTACAGAATCTATACTTTTTGTCTATTTATGTCTAGTTAAACACAAACACTTCAATATCCTTCAGAGGACTGGCTCATTTCATTCCGGAGTCCAGCTGCAAAGTTGCCACTGATGGAACTTCCTCCATTTCTGTTTTTGCTGGGACAAAGGAATGTTTTTTCAGTTTATCTGCACAGTATTGATAAGTCCTAAATATCATTACTATGAACAGCCCTTCCAAGAACTGGTACAGTCCATAGAGCACAGGGAAGGACATGACTGCGCCCAGCACTTCTGGGGCAAAAGCCATTTTAAGAATGCCAAAACACAACTGTGCATTCTGACAGCCTGTTTCCATGGATACAGCCCGACACTCCTTTGGGCTCAGTCTGAAGATCCAGGAGAAGACGTATCCAAGGATGAAACCGATCAGGGGCATGAAAACAGCAATGACCTGCATGGTCAGGGAGAGAACGAGCCAAAATACATCTCCGAGTTTAAGACACAGCCAGATTAAGTACACAAGCAAACCAAGGTTACAAACCACGATTCCAACCTTGGAGCATATGAGCGCAGCACGCGGCCTCAAGTAGTTGAGAAGAATGCCAGAACCAGAGCAGATCAGGACATAGATCAGAGAGATCATGATAGATTTGTAGGGCACAAAATGGTGCAGACTGTCAAAACCCTGGCAGTAGAGGAAGATCAGCAGAGGCATCATACCTAGAGAAATCACTGTGGAGCACGTGGTCATCACAATACTGAGGTTCATGTCTCCTTTGAGCAACACAGTCAGGAGGTTTGAGGCATTTCCTCCAGGACAGCACCCACAGAGCAGCACCACGACTGCATCAATGTCTGTTAGCTGGAAAGCTTTGGACAAACAGAATGCTGTGAGGGGCATGATCCCAAACTGCGTCACCATGGCGATGAACACCCCTTTGGGTTTTATCAAATGATCCTTGATCTTGGACAGTTCCATGGTACAACCAACAGCAAACATCAACAACAAGAGAAGGACAAGACCAAAAAAAGAAGCTTCTTTGCGCAGGCCAAAGGGAACTGTTGCATTGAAGCTGTCATTTCCCCACAACACTGTTCCATTGTCCATCCTGCTCTAAAAGGTAAGACAGACTACTGAGAATCCCACAAAATCACGCAAAATGTATTTAGAACTAAGCATCTGTTATTAATTCATTTTTGACAGATTAATAATTCTTAAAATGGTAAATGTAAAAACCATGGCAGAAACATAGTGAGTAGATGATTCATCTGGTATAATTTGTTGCAACAATGCCACTCCCGTCTGAGCTGGAGTAAAGGCCCCACGAGGCACACAGATAAGTGTATAAAGACGGGCTGGCCAGGTTCCATTTTATTTACAAAGTTTATTGGCCCAAGACAACGACTAATTAAATGAACTTCCGGAGCGCAAAAATATGCAAAATTCAAGCAGTAAACAAAGATGCACACGCCAGTGACAGGTATGAAAAATTAGAACTTGATAAGCTCTAATTTTAAGCGAAGGTCCAGAGGAAAAAAATAAATAAATAGTGGCATTTTAAACTTTTAATTTTCTTGTGGCCTATGGAAGCCCATCCCTGAAAAAATCTGTGTAAAGATCTGAAACCCACCATGAAAAATGAAACATGTCAAGACACAGAAAAAATAAATAAAATGACCCTGTCCTAAACCCAACAGGAAGTCGGCCATAATGGATCAAACCCAGGAATAATAAACACCAACACAGTCGTATTTAGGACATTTCCTCACAGTTTTTGTCAGGGAATTTACCCTAAGACATCAAATTACATTAAATAAAGACACACCAAAACGAGACAGTTAAAGGTAATCACTTGCGCAAGGGAGAGAGAGCTGTCAGAGCCTGTCAATACCACTGGCTGAGCCACTCTACTCTCTCAGCTCTCCTCCCAACAGCAGGTTTTATTGCAGTCATTTCACAGATAACAATACAGTACATTATGTTATATCACACAATGGTTACAATGATCACATGCTAACAATCTTTAGGCTAAACCACCCTCCCATTTCACACTTGATTACAGGCTCCAGGTGATAAACAATTTGGTCAGTTTTCTCCCAAAAACTTATGCTAACCACATGAGGGAAAAAACCCTTAGCTGTCTTCTCATGGGCGACTCAGTAGATTAGCTTAAAGAGTCAGGAGTTCTTGAACTAGGACATATGACATACATATGGAAAAACCCTAAAACGCAATTGTTGATAACTTTATGATTTTAAATGATTCATAATATTTAAAATAACACAGAATTTCTTTCACATTTCCCTCCTGTTTATCAATAATGCTTTACCTCAGAGTACTAGAACTTCTAAGCAGATTCATGCTCTTCAGCTACATATACTTCAATTCTGTCCAACACCCTTATCAGGAGCAAGCGGATACATAAAATACAACATAACACAAAAAACACTTATACCACTAAGCATTGATGTAAAAATGGACACTTTTCCATGCCCCCTAAAATCTAAATTCACTGTAAGGTGAGAGTGTGTTTTAATGCAGTATCATTTTTTTTTTTTCCCATGATATGCTATCAAAACTTTCGTTACAAGTTAAAACCCCCTCCCGGTGTTGCCGTATGCTATATTTGAGTGTGTCTGTGTGTTTGCCTAGACCTGAATCTAAACACAAATTTCTTAATTTTAAATTTTCAAAACCCCTCAGGAGAGCATCATTTTTCACTGTAACCATACTTGTTTGTTGTCCCCTTTCTGAGGCTGTGGCTCCGCAGGCTGGATTCAAGGCTGCGTCAGATAATCAGGCTGATGTTGTACAGTCACGTGACCAGGTGACTGACCATGTTGCAGTGCCCAAGAAGCAGGGGTTACCAGCCCGTACTTCTCGTAAGAACACTGTCGCTGCTTAGTAGTGTGAGGTCCTGCGTCTCTCTTACACGTCAAGGTTTCTGGACTCACAGTGACTCAGGTGGATCCACCCGCTCCTCCCTTCGACCTTAACAGCGGTGGGAGTGGTCAGCAACACACGGTGTGGTACTTTCCTTTCGATCACTGGACCAGCATTTCCGTTTTATCACCTTGATGAACAACAAGGCTCCAACACCGACAGGTGGATGCTGCTGTGAAGAGAGTGGAAGATCCGGCAGGTTATTGTTCTCCGAGCATCTCCAGCCAGTGATGTTTCCTCCATGTACTGGGCGAGATCAGGTACAAAGTCAGGTGTATCTATTTACTTAGTTTGTTCTTACTGTCCCATTTGTGCATTTCCATGAGTCCAGCCGATTGGGGTCTATATGTGCAATGTCTCTTTAGATCTATTTTTTGATGCTCTCCCAGTCTATGACCTTATTCACAAAATGCATCCCATTATCACTTCTAATGATTTCTGATATACCCACGGTGGGAATAATGTGGTTACATAGGGTTTTTTGCCACTGTGATTGTATCAGGTTTGGCTGTGGGAAATATTTCAATCCATTTTGAAAACAAAACATCTATTCCTCCTAAACAGTAATAAAATCCATATATAGGGTCTGAAAGGGGGTAGGTTGGTTGAGGAAACTGGCCTCTCTTAGGTCTAAACTTGCAGATTAAACACTGTCTGCAAAAAATTTTTGAGTAGGTATTAAATCCTATTGTATTAAAGTATTGATTTACTAGTGTCACCATCCCTCCTGTTGAGACATGATATACCTCATGGCTCATGCTCCTTTAAACATGGATTGGTAAAAAAAAATTTCCATTTGATCCCACATACATCTTTGATCTCTGATTTCTGCACCGTTTCTCAACCAAGTCGCCCTTTCAGATGTATTCACTTGCTCTTGTATTATTTGCAATTTATTACCTTTAGTATCAATTACTGTTTCTTGCGTGTATATTCCACATGCTTTTTCTTTCGCTTTTATATCTGCAGATCTATAACCATTTGTTATAAAATCTTTTCCTTTTGTATTCACATTTTAATTATTGCTAGTTTCTTTGGTAGATGAATAGCATTTAATAGATTTTGAAGAAGTTGTTTAGTGAACACTTCTTTGCCTGTAGTGGTTTTGAACCCCCCTCAGCTGCCACTGGTGACAAAAGACATATACTGCACTGAAGTATATTGTCTGTTTGTGTAGATTGTGGCAGGTTTGTCTCTGTACAGTTTACACGCTTCAGTCAAGGCTATTAGTTCTGCTGCCTGTGCTGACAAATTTGAAGGTAATTTTTCTTCGTCTTATGTAAATTTGGAGTAAGGTGGCTGGGTTCAGTGCAGTACATCTCTCTATAGTTAGATGCGGTTGTGACAATAATATTGTCATACACGTTAGGTGTCTGGCTGGCGATACAAATGCCATTTTGGTCTGCAGGAGGAGTGCTGCCACTGCATGTGAAACTTTTAGCTAGTGAAACAGCACTACCTCTGCAGAGGCTGTGATTGCAAAAGCTACTGCTAATACTTCCTGCACACGATGGGTTATTACTAAATTCAAAGCCATAATATTCCTTAGATTCAAAGTAATTAAATAAAATAACTGTTGCTTTAAGACTCAAAGCTTCTCTTTTACCCATTAATTACATTGTTTGAAATTCTTCAACAATATCATTTATTTAACCCATAAATAATATATAAAAGCTACAAGTACTTTTACTCAGTACTAAATTAATAATACCAGGTTAGAAAATAAGCCAATACAACCTAGGTTAAAGTTACTCTATCACTTGAATAAAACAAGCCAACATGCTTAATTACATTTTAAACAGAACATTTTCAAATGAATCAAAAATACGGTGCCTTTAACATTTTAGCAATAGTTTAGTGTTTTATCTAAAATCAGAAGGGACCGAAATAACGGTGATTAAACGTGATCCGTATCTAATACAGACTTTTTATTTTAGCGGACTTTTATTTTGGCGACTTTATTTTGGCAGTCTACTTCCTGTTCTGCTGCCGCACTTTTCCCCTTCTTTTAGGTACAAGCGCTTTTCTTCCCCTCACTCTCAGCTGCGGCTGATGTGTTTTGTCTGTAAAAACTCTCAACAAAGCTCTGGAATTTCTAAATAACGGCGTATTTCAACTGTCCTGTTAAGGTGAGTCTTTTGCCATTATGTGAATAACTCTTATATTAAATTTCAACGGTGTAAAGTGTCGCTAGTCTGTTTTATTCGACAAAATCTTCAATTACTCCTTTAACTACCTTTTAACTTCTTTATAGTATGTTTGTTACACAACATTTTAATTTATAAACTCGGTCTAACTATGATCTCTGCCTGGATATTTTTGACCAGTATTTGGAATTGACATTTTGATGAATACAACCTAAATGCATTTATCTTTAATGCTATTGCAAATGATTTATTTACACATAATTTACTTAATTCAACTGAACTTTGGATCAGTACTAGGATGAATAATTAATTATCAGCAATTAATTATATACATTATACCTGGTTTATGTTTTAGTGCCATAACTCTGTATCGTTCCTTACGTATGTTACACATACTCTTGTTTTAATTCGTTCATAGTGGCCATATTAAAATAAATAAGATAATTATTTTGAACGATATACTTATTTGTGTTTCTGGCTTCCTAGATCAGATTTCCCACGGACTGATTCTGTGATTTGAAAAACAACCTCAACTCAACAAACTTCCAGATAATGAGCTAAGAGTCTGTGCGGTGGGACAGACTATTTGTTTTGTATTATTGGACCTGGGATTTGTACAAACTGTCTTCAAACTGTAGTTTATAATAAAACAACTGAAAATTACCTACTTTTGTTCATAGACTCTACTTTATTTATTTATTTATTACTTTAACTTTTGTGCTTTATAATCTCATAATTTATCTTTGTCTCTCATTTTACTTTTAATACATTTATAATAATCAACCTTTTTGACTGCTGGTTGTTATTATAACCTGTGCTCCTTTAATGAACTTTCCTATTCCTATTTTAACACCCTTAGCCGAGCCTCGAAATTAACGTTACATAAAGCATAGTCAAAACTTCTCTTCCAGATATTTTTAACATGCAATATTCATTTTTCAGCTGAAGCAATCGGGTAAATTTGTCCCTCTACCTTAGGCCTATGTTGGGTAGAGGTCCACTGCTGACCCCTTGGTGTGTTGACAAAAACTTTTGGCAGGAGTTTTGTTATCTCAGAAACAGTGTATGTGGGGTAGCAGCATGTTAGGATTCTTTCTGTGACTCACACCACTGATGCCCCGTCTCCTAGCAGCGACGTATCTCTAACCTTGACGTTTGGCACAGATTCCCCGTCTGCAGACACTCTTTTGCCAACTTTATTGTTTTTATTTTGTGATGACAGTACTTTATCCGTTTGTACGTTAACATCAGTCTGTAACAGTGGTAAAAATCTGTTTGTTAGCTTTGTTTTTGGGTAATATAACGATATTAGCATTGTCTTTTATCACTCGCTGCGCTGCCTTAGTATTTTGTTCTGTACCAAATTTTGAAAAAGACACAGTATCACTCAAGTTTAGTGTAATCTTGTAATGCCAATACAGTTGACTTCATTAGTTCACTTTTTATTTATTTATATATTTTTTTTGATTGCCAAATTTGCCTCATCTGTTCAAGTTACTTTGTGATTCATTTCCCTAGGTTCAGGAAAAATCAAGTCTTGAAGTGGCTTTGCTAGGAGGGTGTAATCCAGTAATCAAGCTCTGTAGCCGTTACACAATCCTAGAAAAGCCATCATTTATTAGTGATTTAGTGGTTTTGGATTCCCCCTTTTTTTTTTTTTTTGTTAACTACCTATCAGAGCTAGCAATTCTCCCTTAAACGGTTAAGTTATGTCCTAAGTATTTTACTTCGGATCTGCTCTTAGATCTTTCACTAGCCTCCAGCCTATGGAGGGGTCAGATTTTTTGTTTTTTTTTACTATAACTATTGCCTCTGTTTCTCTTCTCTTACTCTCTTCCAATCCTTAGTCTGGGACTAATCGAGACGCAGTAGAGGGAGGGTGCTGGGCTGCTGCACCTTTCTCCCTGTTTCTATTTTTCTGCTTGTTGTGTATCAATAGCTGATTTATCAGTTCATCAAGTTGCTCTTTCTCAAGTGTAGGTTTAAACCCATATCTTTTCTGCCATTTTTCGTGCTACCTGGAAACTCTTTTTCCATGTGTTTAACCAACTCCTTCTGTTTTTTGAGTACTGCTTTTTCGTCCATGTTAGTTTTGACTATGTGCCGTCGTGAATACAAATGAGGGATGTACAACAGTTTTTTGTATAACAACTGCTCAAGCAAGCTTCTACTCTTTTTACGGAGCGGCTTGAACCTGGGTGTATATCTCACCGTCGTTATACAATTTCAGTCCCCCACTTGTAGACACTATGGCAGGTTAGTAAAAAAAAAAAAAATTTAGTCCAAAACAAGGTCTGTCAGTCCTCCCTAGGTTTTCCTATCTGCTTGGTCGACCCGTACTTCATCCAGTCAGAAAATCACCTTATTCCAACCACGTACTTTTGACCTGGCTTAAAAACATTTCACTACAGTCATCAAGTTAAGAAAGCACCTTATCTTAACAATAGTCATCGACTGCCACAGTCTCCTGTGGATACTGTACTACTCTGTTTCAGTTAGAGCTACTTTACTAACTGGGGTCTCCGCGACCTCTTGCCTAGTCTCAACAGAATGAAGATTTATCTACTCACTCGTGTCGTTCTGGTGTTCTTCGTTCGAATTCCGTCGACAGCTCCAGCGAAGGACGATGGCGTGTACTGGCCACGGGAAAAGTGGACATAGCGAGGCAGGTACCTTCTCACCTCCTCGGCTGTGCACAGTCTTGCAGTCCGCGTCATCGCCCCTCCACCGGGCTGCACCAGGAAACCGGCTTACGAAGGACCAAGTAAATGTCAGGGAATTTACCCTAAGACATCAAATTACATTAAATAAAGACACACCAAAACGAGACAGTTAAAGGTAATCACTTGCGCAAGGGAGAGAGAGCTGTCAGAGCCTGTCAATACCACTGGCTGAGCCACTCTACTCTGCCAGCTCTCCTCCCAACAGCAGGTTTTATTGCAGTCATTTCACAGATAACAATACAGTACATTATGTTATATCACACAATGGTTACAATGATCACATGGTAACAATCTTTAGGCTAAACCACCCTCCCATTTCACACTTGATTACAGGCTCCAGGTGATAAACAATTTGGTCAGTTTTCTCCCAAAAACTTATGCTAACCACATGAGGGAAAAAACCCTTAGCTGTCTTCTCATGGGTGACTCAGTAGATTAGCTTAAAGAGTCAGGAGTTCTTGTACTAGGACATATGACATACATATGGAAAAACCCTAAAACGCAATTGTTGATAACTTTATGATTTTAAATGATTCATAATATTTAAAATAACACAGAATTTCTTTCACAGTTTTCATTGTAAACACTTCAAATTTGGACACATTTCTAGAAGATAAGTCTCATGACTCGTAACTTTTATGGTTTAGGAGAAAAATTATGAGTGAAAAAATAAATCTGTTATTGAGCCGACAAAGTCCTGGTGAGGGACTAATTAAAACCACGTCTGGAGTGTGAAAACAAGCTGGAAAAAAAAAAAATAAAAATCTCACACACATTGTAATACACATTTTGTAATACTGGACCATGTTGTGGACTAAACAGAAGTGTTACACTAATCTATAGAACAACTGTCAAAATCACCTAGACTGATGTGTGATTAAGTGTTGTTGTTATTTGTTTTCAAATGTGGGTGTGGCCAACCTGCAAAACAGTGGTCATTTTGAAAAGCAGTAAAAAATGTGTATTTGAATGAGACCCAACAGATTAATGTCTGGAATACAATTATGTACAGTATATAAACTGTTTTACAGCACCACCTTGAAAATTTGAATGGGGCCAAAAAAAATTATTTGTTGTAGACAATTCAAATTTGGAACAGACAATCTTCTTGCCATACTGAACAAAAAAGCCAATGAGGACATTTTATTTGCAAATGCATTGCCAAGACAACATCCAACATTTGTCATAGAAATTCATGGGTGGGATACAAGGGAATACATGGGAAAAATGGTTTGTCATAGCCCTTTGAAATTTGGTACACATATTCCCCACATCAAACTCAACAAAAAAAGCCAACTGCCAGCCGTCGCTGTTCTGAAGGTGTTACGTGTCTTGGGTGTCTAGGGGGTGACATGGTCACTGGAAAAAAGATGTTAAAAGAAACATGGCGTCAAACAAAAGCTGGAAGCGTGGGGAGGTATTAAAAAGAAATAATATTTATTACAAAAAATACTAAAAAGGTGTACAAAAATCAGATAAAGGCAGATAATACACAAATTAGCAACTAAGGCTGCAGCGGTGGACCCAGTGGTTGCTCTTCTGGTGGCAGCTTCGGCTTTTATACTCCCGCTGATCGAGCGGGCCAGGTTAGACTGATCAGCTGGGCGGACCTGAGGCGAGTGCACAAAGGATATAGAACCCTTCTTCTCAGTCTTGTGTTGTGTTGTAACCCTGGGCCAGCAGTGCCCACTGCATCAGCCGCTGGTTCTGGTTATACATCTGGGCTAGAAAGACGAGGGCTTTGTGGTCTGTGGAGACAGAGACTGGGACACTGGTGGATCCAACATACATGTTGAAGTGCTGCAGGGCAAGGAGCACGGTCAACATCTCCTTCTTGATGATGGAATAGTTAAGCTGGTGCTTTTTGAACTTAGCTGAGAAGTATGAGACTGGATGGGGGACACCAGCCTCATCATCTTGCAGGAGTACAGCATCCACCTCTAAACTAAACGGTTTGGAATAGTCAGGGGCTGAGAGGTATGGGGTGCTACACATAATTTGATTTGAAAAGCACATTCACACTCCTCTGTCCAAATGAAGGGGATAGAAAGACTACAGAGGGCAGTGAGTGGGGAAACTAGTACTGAAAAGTTTTTGCTAAAACACTGATAATAGCCAGCTAGGCCTAAAAACCGGCACAACTCTCTAAGAGTAGTAGGTGCAGGGTAGGCAAGTACAGCCTCAACTTTTGCATAAACTGGTCATATCTGTCCATGACCAACTACCTTGTCAAGGTATGTTACGGTGGCCTTACTAAAATCACATTTGGCTAGGTTGAGCGTCAAGTTGGCTTGGGGCAACCTCTTAAAAACTTTCGTCACGTCACGCCCTCTCCACACCTCCACCTCACCATAAAAGGAGCATGTAACGTGACTGGTGAATGAGATTTCCCTAAACATGAGCCGATAATCAGTGGGTTTGATCGAGACACGTGGGACAGAGGGAAGAGGACGCTCCACGCAGCACCACGCGATCACGGCAAAGACTTAAACAAGGTTAAACAAATAAACACAAAAGTAAAAGTGACAGCAATGACTCATCTGTTCATTTAATCATATTTCATAATATTTAGGCAGCACATCTTTGCGGTAAAGCCGAATTGTTTTCTTGCTGTTTCAAGAGTTTTATCACTATATTTAAGTCTGTCTATGATGTGTGTGTGGACTCTGTGTATGTGTATACATTATATATATATATATATATATATATATATACACACATAGATACGTGCACGCTCTGATCTGAATGGTCAAATTATGAGCGCCTGCGAGAGATTCAGATGCCCTCCCCTGAAAAGTGAAAGGAGTGAGGGAGAGATACGAGGATACGTGGACATAGATTAGCAGATAACACATCAAACACATGTCAGGCACTGTTATTCTGCCAATAAAAGCCCACACCAAACATCCAAAATGTTCACCTCTGTGTGTGCGCAGGCCT